GATGAGGGAGAGAGCAGAGAAGGAGAGAGAGAGAGAAGGAGAGAGAGGGAGAGGAGAGGAGAGAAGGAGGAGGGGACGAGGGGAGGAGAGAAGAGAGAGGAGAGAGAGAGAGAGAGAGAGCGTTGCGATGACAGGAGGATAGAGAGAGGAGTCGAGTGACGCATGATTGAGAGAGACTGGAGAGAGAGACGAGACTTGATGAGGAGAGGGATGAGTGAGTGACCGGAGGCGCTGGGATGGAGAGAGAGAGATCGAGGAGATGAGTGCGGGAGGGAGACGTGAGATGAACTGAGAGAGATGAGATGATGAGAGAGAGAGAGAGAAGAGGAGAGATGAAGCACGAGCGAGCACATGAGAGGAGAGAGAGAGGACGAGAGAGAGAGAGAGAGGAGAGAGATGATGAGAGAGTGACGACGAGAGACTGACGACGGAGAGAGCGAGAGAGAGAGAAGAGATGAGAGGAGAGAGGTAGAGCAGTAGATGAGATGAGAATGAGAGAGAGGATGAGAGAGTACGAGAGAGATCGGACCGGAGAGATCTGCGAGAGAGGGACGAGAGAGAGAGAGAGAGAGAGAGAGAGAGTAGATATAGAATGAATGCGCGCTTATCAAGTCAACTAATGGTGAGTTGAAACTTTCACACAGGAGCCGTGATTCTTCTTGTTGCCATTCTCATTACGGCATTCTACAGAATGTACCAGATGTCGAAGAGTAACACGAAGCCCGTGAATTACACGTGAGTAAAGCTGACAAAATTTCATCACCCGAAACTGTTGGTAGAACGCCGATTGATTCTACTCCTAACTGTTCCTTTACATTTTAGGAACGTTTTTGGCAACGGCCCCTATAATTTCGAAGTGGCAAGAGCCTATTAATTTGTCATTAGTGACAAATTTACTTGACAATTTCCTCTGCCGAGTGATCATTGCGATTGCGATTGGCCATGCGCTTCCGAGGGTATGGGTGGCCACTGTACACATTTTTCTTCGGCGAGAAATTTCGGTGGTATGCTGAACTACATGCAAGAGTTCCAACAGCAAATCTATTATTTTGTCTTTGTAGGAAGAAGAACGCATCGTTGCCGCCAGTGAGGAAAGTGGTGCAGCCGGTCTACCCCAGAGACATGCACTACAGGATAGGCCCAGGGCCGTCGTTCTCGTATATATAAACACACTAAAGCCCGTGTAATATATGCGCAAGATATAGCGTGTAGTACATTTACAAACGTTATACGCAATAGTTGAATTGTTATATATGAACGTGTAATATTATTACTACACCTACAAATGCTATACGCAATAACAGAATTGTTAAAGTCTGTATGCAATGTTGATTCCTCTTGACAATGTAAATATGAATATATGTGCCACACGCGTATGTTATTTTAACGACAAGGCGAATGAAATCTGACTACCTTGCTTTCTGAACTATGCTCAGAATCTGGTTATTTAAATAGGTTATAATTGAGAATTGCTCGCCTATCAATCATCCTAGTTCTTTCCAGGTACACATTATCCACGTGTTATTGCAGCAGCGATTGCTATGTAGGCCTACTGCCGAGATGAATCGGATAAATGTTTGTAACCCCATCTATTATATATATATATATATATGTTAATATATGTTAATGATTTGCACTTTGCCAATTTTTTAGATTCATCTCGCTTTCCCTCTCCTCGCTGCTTCTTCACTCCGTATCGAAGCTCCTTTTTTAAACGCTGCGCGACGAAAAAAACGCGCGCGCACCGCACGGAAAATAAGATGGCCGCTATAGAGAGTCGCACGTGTGAAAACATGAGAAGAGGTACAGCGTAAGGCGGCAGCTCGGCGACGAAGGCTGTTGTTTCAGCGCTGGCCGCTGGGGAACCAACCGCGTTCGCGGGGGGATCTTTTACCATCCAAAATCATCGCGACTCTCTCCAACTGCCAACAAGTTGGAGAGAGGCGGACTGGGAAAGCCACAGGGGTGGAGGGAGGAACCCTTATCGGTGAAAGAATGAGAGGAAATGAGGGGAGGAGGTGAGAACGTGAGAGGAAATGAAGGGAGGGTGGGGGCAGGAAGAGAGGAAGAGAGCAAGGTAGAGAGAGATGGAGGGTGGAATGGACGAACGGAGGGAGGGAGATAGGAATGAATGGAGGAAGGGAGGAAGGAAGAGAAAGAGGAAGAGATGATGGAGGGAGGGAGAGAGGGAGGGCGGCAAGGAAGGAGGAAGGGAGAGAAAGAGAGAGAGAGAGAGAGAGAGAGAGAGAGAGAGAGAGAGAGAGAGAGAGAGAGAGAGAGAGAGAGAGAGAGAGAGAGAGAGGGGGGATGGATGGAGGAAGGGAGGGAGAGAAGGAGGCAGGGTGGATGGGATGTAGGGAAGGAGTGAGAGAGGGAGAGAGGGAGGGAGGGACTGAGAGAGGGAGAGAGGGAAGGAGGAAGAGAGGGAGGGAGGGAGAGAGGGAAGGAGGGAGGGAGGGAGAGAGGGAGGGAGGACGTGTATAAACATCAACGCTGCGCTAATACGCGGCTCCGGCACTGCGATTTTCTTGTTGGTAGTCCAGTCATAAAGTGCACTCTACCGGAAAATCGAGTGAAACAAGCTGGATTCTTCACTAATATGTTGGTATTGGTCCATAAAAAACCTAAAAAAAAGTTACAAAATTTTTGTTGGTCGGAAACTTTTTTAC